CCGCCAATGTGAGCAAAGAGTGCGCAGCTGCAGGACCCAGCAGCCCAATACGGGGTGCAATACACAGGCTCTTGACTAGACTAGCGTCTTGGGATGCAGCTGCCCTGGCAGAGGGTGAGGGAGACTAGGAAAGGAATGAAGTGGGGCAAGATGATGATGGAGGAAGCGGATTATCACCATGGAAAGAGTAGTACTTTACATTTTCAAATTCCTTAGAAGACATCTGCTTTTGCCACTTTTTGGATCCTTCCAGATAAATTATTTACTTAACCCCAAAATGTAGTATGTGCCACAATATATTGAATAATCTGCCCCATTGATTTGAAATTTCACATTTATGGCACACCAAATTCCTGTGTATTTGCATTATTCTTTGTATAATTTGCCCGGCTTTCTTGCCTTTTAAATTTACTATTTCTCTGGAATCTTTTTTTTTTACCATCTTCATTTTGATTTTAAAAATTCTTGTTTACTTTTTTTTAGGTATTATCTATTATATTCATTCACACTCTGTGCCCTTTTAGTATTTGAGTTCTACCATCTCATCTAATTTCCATTTATGTTGTTCTTTTTCATTGTGGAACAACTTATATAACATAAAACTCACCATTTCAACCATTTTTAAGTGGATAATTCCATAGCATTAAGTGGATTCACAATGTTGTTCAAGCATTATCCACTATCCATCTCCAAAACTTTTCACCATTCCATACAGAAACTCTATATCCATGAAATAGTAATTTTCCTTTCTCCTCTTATGTTCTGTCATATTTTGCACTGTTTTGTTCTAATGTCTTTTAGCTAGTTTTGAACATAATTTTAACAATTATTTTAAATTTAGGACCTCGCAATTTTCAGTTTCCTGAAACAGAGTGCCATTTCCCTCAAACTAGTTAAGACTCTGAGGCAAATGGTGAGTCCCCTCCAACTAACATGGCACCCAGTGTCTGTGCTTGCTCATTTGATATTTTGAATGAGAAGTCAAAACAACAGCCTCAGGGTTCATGGGGGAGGGACATTTGGACACAAGAAGATGGAATAGTCTGCTGAACAGGTGGGGAATCTGGACATGGCCTCTTATCCAAATGTATCTTTTTCTTCTCTTTTTATCTACTTTCTAAATGTGTAAGAAATGTAATCTCCAATTTGCTTTCCTTCCCATGGTGGCTTCAGCACAGGTCTAGAGTCTTCCTCTAGAACTGAAACCATTCCAGTTTCAAGAGTTAAAGTTTACCCCTATCTGGAAATAGAGAGACTTATTCTCTATCTGGTGATAAACATTGTGTCTAGCAGTGTTCTTAATGGATCTTGAGTTCAGTAAGCAGAAACCTTAATTCTTAATTAAGAATGTGGGCTACTAACTTCTTACTATATCAGAGTTCTTATCAGGCCTCATCGTTGTAATTAAGAAAACTACATTAACCTGCAAACTCCTGCTCCTGGGTGTAATAGGAAGGCTGAGCTGAGTTAATTAAAATGATATCAGACCCTTGTGCTGTAAAATTTCACTTATAGGTCTAGATCCATGAAGAGGAAAATTTCTCAGGCTATAACGAAATGAAGGAGGTCTCTGTGTGAGAGATTAGCTACTATTTGATAAACCTGATCAATAGAGATGACCAATTTAGATAATATGAGGGAAAAGACCATGTGAGAATACTCCAAAGAACAAGGAGAAACATTAAAGATGTGATGGTTAGATTTTCAGATAAGCAGTCTCATTGGAACTAAACACACATTGCCCTTTCTATTAATATATTTTAAGATATGACTCATAATTCAGAGATTATCATGAACATGGAATTAATGCCTTCAATTATTTAGGGTTTGCACAAATCTTTGCTACCACTAATTTATGGGGGAATCTCTCATTTTGCCTCTATCCTTTAGCCATCTCTTTCATTTTTCACTGTTGGACTATCTCAGCACTTTTTCTGAGGTACACATAGATCTCTTGTCAATTTTACCTTGTTTTGAGTTGATTAATTCATATCTCCTGTATCCTACAAACACAAAGAGCATGAGCAGGATCTTACAATGTCTTCAGTGCTTGACCACATCATCTCAAACAAACATAATAAATGTCTGCTAAATGGATGAATAAGAATGTGGGTGAAAACATGCATCTTCTGCTCTCTCCTTTTTTTGGCAAAGGGGTACAGGGATGGAACTCAGGGGCACTCTACCACTGAGTCACATCCCCAGCCTTATCTTGTATTTTATTTAGAGACAGGGTCTCAGTGAGTTGCTTAGCACCTTGCTTTTGCTGATGCTGGCTTTGAACTTGTGATCCTCCTGCCTCAGCCTCTCGAGCCACTAGGATTATAGGCATGTGCCAACACCCAGTCTTCTGTTCTCTCCTTTACAGCCACCTCCCGCCCCATCAATATATGAGAGTTTTTTTAAAAAGGAAAGATAATGGGAGAAGGGAAGGAAAGAAAAAGACACAAAAGACAGAGTAAGGGTACATACTCAAAGTCTTGCAATATCAGAAATAGGTAACTAAGATGAAGAAAAGTATAGTTATTAGCATATAATTCCAGTAAAAGACTCATGTTGTTACTCACCTATTTTATATACAAATCCTTTCACATTTTGAAAGTTCAGATGGGCCTATAGCAAAGCCTCAGAGGACCAGGGCAGGGGGCAATTGAAGAACAGGGAAAAAAAATTTAAAAAATAAAAAAGTAAAGAAAGAGAGAAGAGAGAAAGGGGGAGGGGGAGAGAGGTATAAAACCAAACTAAACAACAACAACAAAAAAACCTTAACCTTCAAAAGACAAGGAAAAATAACTATCATTAAATATGATAAAAATGAGAGAAAAAGAAATATGTATATTAATCATATATATTATATGTGTGTGTATATATGTGTATAGATACATACGTGACCTCCTCGAGATGTATGTATGTATACACACACACACACACACACACACACACGCACACACAAAATCAGCACAGAAAGAACACCAAAAAAAATTCTTGATGGAAAAATTAAAGAATTGTCTCCACTGAAGTGCTCAATATAGCAAGAATGAATGATCACTGCCTATGCCTGACTGTCCTCCTTTCTATTTCTTCTTGAGCTATGTATTAAGAAAAACAGAGAAAGAGCTGGAGTTGTTAACCCCTTCCTCTTTCTATATTGCTCACTGAGTTGCTAGCTGGAGTGACCTAAATTGAAACTGGTTGAAATAGCTCTCAGTTTCCCTTCTTAGCAGTATAAGATAGGATAGAATAGAAGGTAGTATCAATTGGAGTTTATTTTAACAACTGGATAGATGCACTCCCATGTTGTGGCTGCTGCAAAATTCTATAAAGGCAGTTTTGATGGCTGAATCTTAAGTCTTCAGAACTTGGGGGCTTTGTTGATATCTGCTCTGTAGTGTTTAGATCAACGTACTCCTAGAGCTCAAAATTTGCTGATCTCCTCTGGGAGTCTGGATCTCAGCAGCCTCCCAAGAATTCTACAGGGAAGCCAATCCTCCATCAGCAGGATGTCTTCCTGCTGCCCATGAATAAGGTCTTTCAAAGATTAGTCCCTGAGCTTATTCACATTTTCCTTTTCAGTTTCCTAATGTGCTTCAACTGGTCACATAACCTGCAGGACTCAAAGGGAAAGTGAATTTCACTCCCCTCCATTTTTCTGACTTGAATCCCCCTGGATTAAATCTTCTTTCTACCTGTTTAACTTTTATTTTTCCAGGTACGTCCTAGAACTCATGGTAAGCACTTGCCAGGACACTAAGGCAATGTTGGCTATGATCTCCCATGTTTCTGCTGCAGCAATTGCAGAGTAACCCCCTCAAG